TCTGTGTGAATAAAAAGCTTCTAATTTTAGATACGCAGCTACGTGAACATTAATAAACATTCATCGTTATAAATGCGACAATAACTGGATAATGTGAGAATACTTATCACAATGCTGGCGGGAAGCGCCTGCGATTAGAGAGTGATTTTCGTACTCACGGCGGAAGAAGAACGGCGTGGTAAAAGAGTCGAAAACACGTGCCCTCGGCTCCTAACCAGCGGAACGAACTAACGGGCAACCGACAAGCAATGAAACAACGGGAAAAGACGAGCTTAGGTAGTTCGGCTTGCGTTCCGGCAATGAACATTTCCCGACTGGGTACCGTCAATTTTTCCTTGATCTATTTCAAGGCCATCGATTTATCCTTTTTTTTTATACAATTAGCAATTATCACGCTCCAATTTCCAGCAGATAGAGTAATTTGAAATTTGTATCAAATTATGCAGTAAAAAAACAAAACAATAAAAAAATATAATAAATATAGGTGTAGCATATATTTATAATATTTATATGATTAATTAATTTTGTGAATAGCTTTAAGGCTGTACTAAGTTGCTAATTTAAGAATGCTCGCAAGTAAAGAGAGAGATGAAGAAAATATTCGATAGAAGCTGTCTTCTTAATAGAAATGTTACACCAGATCAATCTCTATTTTTTTCCCTTTTGCAATTCCTTTTGATAGTGCAAATTGCGTTATCGCGCGATTGATGATCACGGAAATAGTTCGTCAGCACGCATTCGTCATCGGGAGTAATTCGTAATGTGTGCGAGATGAGTCAGTCGGTCGGTAGCGATTATGATAGCGGTATGCTAAGTAAGAAGAAAGTGATCGTATGTTGTCTGCGATTAGGCTAAAAATACATTCGTCTATATGCCCAAACTTTTCGAAGTAGGACGAATAGATTCAATGTGGAGACATGTACCGTTCATTTGTATCAAGGTTGGCAAAGGCTAGTTTTTTTTAAGAATAAAATATGGTGTTTCTTCTTAAACTTATTTTTAATGTTTCAAACATACTTCAAATGTATTATAAAAAAACATATTTAAAATATTAATTAAAAAACATGTTTAAAATATTGATTAAACATGTTTTGAACTGTTTAAAACATATTTCTTTATACCAACTTTTTGTACTTTATAACATACTTCGCACAATATATTTATATTTATTTGTGTCATATCTTACACAATTAATGTATGATGTATATCACAAATGAATATAACATAAATGAATCTCTTTTCACATTGTTTCACAAATGAATTTTTATTACATTATTTTGCGATAATATAATATTTATAGTATACATATTGCAACATGTATGTAACACAAGATGTCTTAGAATGATCGCCAAATATTTCATGTGATGGTACAGTGGACTAAACTGACATGAGTCGAAAAATCGTCTACCAATTTTCACAATAGTTAACAAGATATTAATTACTAAAAATTGCCGAATATTGATTTTCAATAATTTTTTATTCAAATACTATCATCAAATACTTTACAAAAAAAAAACAGCAATAGATAAAAATTGTTTACTTTCTTTTCATAGTTTTGAAAATTTTTTCTCATGTTGATAAAAATAGTTGCCAATATATAAAAAAAATTCTTAGAGCTCTATGAGAAGAAAGTAAACAATTTTTATTTCTTCTTGTTTTTCTGTAAAGTTGATAGTGTTTAAATAAAGAATTATTGAAAATCAATATTCGGTCATTTTTAATTAATATCTTGTTAACTATTGCGAAAATTGCAATGATAGAGGAATCTTTTATTCAGTTTAGTCCGTTCAGCACACGAAATATTTGGCGGTCATTCTGGGACATCCTGTAAAAATAAAAATCGTCGCAGCATCTTCATAACAATTTTAAATTTCTGTTAAAGATAAATTAAAAATGCATCTTTTTATCACAATTATTTTGTAACATACATATCAGCAAATAATTATTATACGTATTATTATAAAAATATACGTATAATAATTATTTGCTGTATGTTCTTAACATAAATTCAAAATTATTATGATGCTGCGACGATTTTTATTTTTATAAATTATTATTCTAGTAATTGACGTAGAAATTGCTTTGAAAATATGAAGTAACTTATATCAGTTCTGCAAAGTTCTATCTTCCATTTGTGAAATACCTTAAATTACGCCAATTAGTCATTAAAGAGCTCATTGTTGCAACGCTGAGTGGCATCGCGATGTTATGGTTCTTTAAACATTTATGAAATCCTACTACGGTTCTTTAATAACGTATTCCAACTTGTATGTTCTGAGCAATAAAAATATGAATGTTGTGTCCAGCGTATATTTTATTTTCCATTTATAATTATAATCTTTATACTATTATACTATTATTATTACTATTATTATATATTATTATATCAAATTATTATATACTATTATATC